GCCCAGTCGATAAATGCTGCAGTGGCACAAGGTAAAACGACACCATTACTAGACACGGATAAACAATGATATTCCTGTCTATAACACCACTTTAATCTCACCGCGTAAATACGACAATCTAACTCTTCTTGGATATCACCAAGCCCAGAAAGATAAAAAAATCAACTGACAGATCATGCATTTGGAAAACGGGGGGAAGGGGGGGGGGGTGTTATACGGTTGAACTTAACTATTCATTTTAGTCGCTGTTTTGCTTCTTTTTTTTTACATGTGACTTGACCAACTTTTCTCGAAAAAATCTTTTATTGGATCCGCAACAGAGATTCCTCTAAAATCCATATCGATGTGAAATTTATTTGATCAATCACTAAACAGAAGTGAAAAGCGGATTTTTGAAAAAATCATATATATATTTCAGATCTCAAGTTTAAGTCATTTGAATTTGGTTGACAACAGGCTAGTGGCACGTTAGGTGCAGATTGCAAATGGGGGGGGGGGGGGGGGGGACCTATATTAGTTGCCAACTGAAGATGAACGAAATGATAATCTGACAGAAACTGAAACTGGATACTGTAAACATACATGATGTACATGTAACACAATCAACTTTTAACAAAATTAAACATTTTAGCAAATCAGTATTAATCGTTGTTCACAGACATTTAATAGATGAGACGAATAGTGCAATAGTTTAGCGCAATACTCTCAGCAAGAAAAGCGCTGACATCTGAAACAATAGAAAAAAAAGTCAAGCACATACAATTTGATCTGTGCAGTAACGAGTGATATATCTTCACTTGGTTGCCTTAAACGTCATTAAATATTAAAAGGTTCAGAACTATTCGTCAGTTTAGTGGCGAAAGAAATATCCTCAGTTGTAGACTTAATTGGCTGTTTGTGTCACAGTAATTGAATTGAATACAACATAAAGAAATGTGATGTTACACCGTCAGTAGAATTGGCAATTATACATAAAGAACCGTGCAGTAATAATATTGTCTTTGCATTTAAAATTTAGAAGTCCTCTGCCTTAAAGTCTGGAATTTGTGGGGATATATACATTTGAGACGTGGATTACCCATCTGAATTCTTGTTTCACTATTCCAGAATTTTTTGCAATGTACGGCAAGCTGTTTGAAATGTAGAGTTTGTTCTTCGTAACACTATCTCTTTAACACGAAAGTCTCACAAATCACAAGACGTAAGATGTCACTTTGAGGAAGTAGAACTTCAAGGCAGTAATGAAATATATGGCCCTAACACACCACACGTGACAACGGAGTGAGATAGAAGAACAATCACGTGCTGAAATGTGAATCATCGGCAGCCATTATGATAAATCCCAACAGACGATCACTCTACAATTCAAACGGTCGATTCCATCAAATATTCATAGATACTGTTGAAACTACCTGACTATCATTTTTTGTATTTTTGTCGTGAAAAGCGATTTGTTTTTATTCATCTATTGACGTGTATTCAGTACAATCAATATCACGTAAAACCATTTAAATAGAAACGGGTCAGGAAAATAATGGCTTCACTTAAGATTATTCAAAACAATGTTGACACATGACAATAAAAACATTGGTTTATGTGTCATGTGAACCATCCATCAGTCCTATAAATACTATCTACCAGTCATGTGACCCACCCATCAGTCCTATAAATACTATCTACCAGTCATGTGATCCACCCATCAGTCCTAGAAATACTATCTACAAGTCATGTGACCCACCCATCAGTTCTAGAAATACTATCTACCATTCATGTGACCCACCCATCAGTCCTAGAAATACTATCTACCAGTCATGTGAATCACCCATCAGTCCTAGAAATACTATCTACCAGTCATGTGACCCACCCATCAGTCCAGTCCTAGAAATACTATCTACCAGTCATGTGACCCACCCATCAGTGCTAGAAATACTATCTACCAGTCATGTGACCCACCCATCAGTCCTAGAAATACTATCTACCAGTCATGTGACCCACCCATCAGTCCTATAAATACTATCTACCAGTCATGTGACCCACCCATCAGTCCTAGAAATACTATCTACCAGTCATGTGACCCACCCATCAGTCCTAGAAATACTATCTACCAGTCATGTGACCCACCCATCAGTCCTAGAAATACTATCTACCAGTCATGTGACCCACCCATCAGTGCTAGAAATACTATCTACCAGTCATGTGAACCACCCATCAGTCCTATAAATACTATCTACCGGTCATGTGACCCACCCATCAGTCCTAGAAATACTATCTACCAGTCATGTGAATCACCCATCAGTCCTAGAAATACTATCTACCAGTCATGTGAACCACCCATCAGTCCTATAAATACTATCTACCAGTCATGTGACCCACCCATCAGTCCTATAAATACTATCTACCAGTCATGTGACCCACCCATCAGTCCTAGAAATACTATCTACCAGTCATGTGACCCACCCATCAGTGCTAGAAATACTATCTACCGGTCATGTGATCCACCCATCAGTGCTAGAAATACTATCTACCAGTCATGTGACCCACCCATCAGTGCTAGAAATACTATCTACCAGTCATGTGACCCACCCATCAGTCCTAGAAATACTATCTACCCGTCATGTGAACCACCCATCAGTCCTAGAAATACTATCTACCAGTCATGTGACCCACCCATCAGTCCTATAAATACTATCTACCATTCATGTGAACCACCCATCAGTCCTATAAATACTATCTACCAGTCATGTGAATCACCCATCAGTCCTATAAATACTATCTACCGGTCATGTGAACCACCCATCAGTCCTAGAAATACTATCTACCAGTCATGTGAATCACCCATCAGTCCTAGAAATACTATCTACCAGTCATGTGAACCACCCATCAGTCCTATAAATACTATCTACCAGTCATGTGAACCACCCATCAGTCCTAGAAATACTATCTACCAGTCATGTGACCCACCCATCAGTCCTAGAAATACTATCTACCCTACATATAGACTGTAACATGTACAGTATAGTGATGACATCAGAATAACGGAATAGAGAATTAACCTGACACATTAACTGATGACATATGTGACTAATAGGATGTTCACTGCGATGACACCTAAAGAAGAGCGACTAAACTGCGACACATCGGTTGTAACAACAGAACGCTGATGAGTTATGTATCTTGATACAATCTACTCAGCAATAGTCCCATTGGATCTCAGAATTGATTTTCTATGACAAATTTACACACGTTTATAAATAAACTGAGTGTGAAAACAATAGACAAAAGTTTAAGATATTGACATACCGACCGTGAATACACTGTACAATTTGTGTGTGTAGGCTACATACAATACAAGTGTAACGAATATACACAACTATTTCTGATAACTATTACGACATTATCATACACGGATTATGACGGAACATAAAAATAGTATGACGTAATTCTAATGATAAAACACCTCATCGTATGTGTCGAAATAATGAAATAAAACGGTAACCTACATCATATATGTGTCGAAATAGGTAACCTACATCATATATAATTTACTACAAACTTATCGACGGTAACCTACATCATATATACATTTACTACAAACTTACTGACGGTAACCTACATCATATATACATTTACTACAAACTTACTGACGGTAACCTACATCATATATACATTTACTACAAACTTACTGACGGTAACCTACATCATATATACATTTACTACAAACTTACTGACGGTAACCTACATCATATATACATTTACTACAAACTTACTGACGGTAACCTACATCATATATACATTTACTACAAACTTACTGACGGTAACCTACATCAGATATATATTTACTACAAACTTACTGACGGTAACCTACATCAGATGTAGATTTACTACAAACTTACTGACGCTAACCTACATCAGATGTACATTTACTACAAACTTACTAACGGTAACCTACATCATATATACATTTACTACAAACTTACTGACGGTAACCTACATCAGATGTAGATTTACTACAAACTTACTGACGGTAACCTACATCATATATACATTTACTACAAACTTACTGACGGTAACCTACATCATATATACATTTACTACAAACTTACTGACGGTAACCTACATCATATATACATTTACTACAAACTTACTGACGGTAACCTACATCAGATATATATTTACTACAAACTTACTGACGGTAACCTACATCATATATACATTTACTACAAACTTACTGACGGTAACCTACATCATATATACATTTACTACAAACTTACTGACGGTAACCTACATCATATATACATTTACTGCAAACTTACTGACGGTAACCTACATCAGATATATATTTACTACAAACTTACTGACGGTAACCTACATCATATATACATTTACTACAAACTTACTGACGGTAACCTACATCATATATACATTTACTACAAACTTACTGACGGTAACCTACATCAGATGTAGATTTACTACAAACTTACTGACGGTAACCTACATCAGATATACATTTACTACAAACTTACTGACGGTAACCTACATCATATATACATTAACCTACATCAGATGTACATTTACTACAAACTTACTGACGGTAACCTACATCATATATACATTTACTACAAACTTACTGACGGTAACCTACATCAGATATATATTTACTACAAACTACTAACTTATATCTGAAGGGTGTGTGTTACATTATGTGGTATTGAAAATGAAGACGGTGTTATGCTGTAGACAAAGACTTCCTGAACCATTTCCAAAAAATGCATTATTACTTTGTGATTTGTGAGTAAAGTGAGGCGAAGACTCGATCGATTTGTTCTGTCTATTGTATCTACGACTTGGGATTCGTAAACGTACATCTTTACTCCCTACCCCTGTTTATCCGCTAGATTGGCGTGACAGATAAACGTCAAACTTTATCATATAGGAGATCAGCAAGATTTAATCAGCATGCTATAAAATATATAGTATCGTCGTTTGAGTTTGATACTTACTGTACAGTTGGTTGAGTAAATATTATCTGAACTATCGCTGGTAGCACCTGTTTTGTAGTTCCCCGCCCCGTTGATAAATTTGACGGTTGAGCTGGCCCTCCCCTTGCCCTTGCTCCCGTTGTAACCGCTGGGGCCAGGCTGTGGAGAGTAGGACCGACACGTCTTTATAGACCCAGGAGATCCTGTTAGTTTGTTAGATGCTATGGAATTATGACTAAGACACTGTTTTTTCGACATAAATGACGTCACTTCATCTGAACTCTCTTGTACGCAAGACTCGCACGAGCCTCTGCACGAGAGTGGATGGTCACTGATCACGTGACAAGTGAGTGGTGAGTTTGACCGCACTGCACTACATCCTGAACACACACTGTTAGAACGGGACGTTTTTGATAATAATGCGGTTGGGTATAAAGACGTTCCACCATCTTGAATTTCTGGACACTTTTGAAGTTCGATGTTTTCTTCCACGTCCTCTTTGTTTTCTGGCTCAGTTAGTGACGTCAGAGGATATGCAAGTGCCTCTAAATATGGAGGAGGCGGGGCACGGGAGCCTGCCAATATAAAAATCAACAATCACCAATTCTATACGTAAATTCTGCAATAATGAACGTGTATGGCCGATTAAAAAAACACAAATGAAAACATTAAAGTTGACGGGGGTCCCGTTTAATCGTGTAATTAACAAGCAAACGTTTAATTATTTTGTGTATGTAAATTTGTTTTTCATTTTCTGTTTTTACCCTTTTTATGGTAAAATATTCACATCTGCGGTACGATTTCGCTATGAAGACCAACGAGATTGCGTTTCTATGTAAAAGCTTTTTTTTTCAAGAAAATCTATATAGCAGGTCTTAGAGCAGAAACAATTTACTTCGAATAGTACAATAAAAAATGGCTGCTGGCGGCGATCTTGAAATTTCATGGATTTTAAAATGTGACCAGCATCACGTGAGACTGGACTGAATAGGTTTTGAAGTTTTATATTCCTTCTGTTCTCGAGAAACAGCAGTAACCGGTTTCAAAAATGATAAACCAAAATAACTTTAGCGCCATTTTCATATTTGAAAAGCCCACCATCTGACGAAAGCAGTCTAGAAAGGTGAGGGCAATATCGAACCCATTTTTCGCTGTTTATTGATGGATATCCGTGATAAGTGTAGTTGTTTTTTTATATTAACATTCTAACACAAATATATTTTTTAAAAGCCTTTGGCATAAACCATTTGATATTAAACAGGTTTGTACACACTAGAAAAAATCTATAATAGCCAACGATGTACATGTGTATGTGATCGTTCTACTGTCTTACAAGGATCGTGGCATACACAAACGGTTTAGTCGGCATACTTTGTGTTGGAATTTATAACTAGGCAACCTTTATCAGTAGATCTACTTCTGATGTCACCGTTTGTGTACCAATCTTAACTGCCTGAGCCAAGCGTCGATGTTTTTAATGGAACGATCAATCTGATATTGAATTCTGATGATTTTGTCGATATGGCGGTGTTTGTCACGGCATAAGGACTACTAGACACGAGAACAACACCACAATCTCTACACTCAGCGGGAACTGAAGCAGATTGCTTCCCACATACGGACTTTAATATAAATAATAGAATGTTCTGGCAATATATTAAAATCAGTGAAAACAAACAAAATGGCGGTAATTAGAAACGTGCCTGGCATAAAATACTCATCCGCATGTAGCACTCGAATGTACAAGTATGTAAGATATCAATAAACGTCAGCATCTGAAGCTAAGTTGAAGGAGATACATACTTTATTCCTATACAATAAATAGGGGCTAAGATTAGTAACATATCTCAGGACAGCATTACAAAAGAAATCCAAGAAATTAGGTGCATTTGGACAGTTATATTCACCTCGCGCGCACGGATTCTATCTGTTTCGGTGTGACAGCGCTATATATTCAGACCTATGAGAGGTGTTTTGACTAATCAGCATGAAGGACAAATTATTGCCTTATAATAAAAGCTTGCTACGCAAAGGTTGTGAAATAGAGCTCAAAACCATCCACATCTGAGTAGAAACATAAACATTTATCATTTCATCATGAAGAGAGAATATTTACGTGTATTGTACCAGACTAAAACTTGAGACGTTCACAAAAAAAAAAAAAAAGTAATAATAATGACCAAGGGAGAAAAAAATCCAGATAGATTAACTTGACAGTTCGGGAAAATTGTAATCTGTACTATTTTCACCGGTAACAAAGGTGTCCGGATTATGGAGTTTTTTTTTACTCAAAATATGAACATGTATTTACACGCATTATCATGAGCAGTAAATGACAATGAACAACATTAATAGGTTACTTTAGAAGCCACAAAAATTGTTACTGTCGTCGTCACTAAGTTTTGCGATTACATAAGATTATCGATTTTTCAAATAATGTCGCCCGATAGTTACAAGATTAAGAATATAAATCACAGTTAAAGTTTACGTAACAAATAAACGGATATCAGTTCTTTAGTCACATCTGAAAAAGCCAGATGTGAAAGCAACATATTTAGAATATAAATCGTTTGATTTAGCATAGAAATAACATGCTTTATGATATAAAGCACAAGTTTTAGATACTGGATAAATCAGAACATTGAAGTTAACCAGTCTTACAATAAATATTATGAAACTTCAGAATGCGTATAATTCAATTTTGGAAATAAAACACTGAGTTTGAGTAATACAATGCTAAGCGCATTATTTACAAAAAGAAATAACATGAGTTTCAAAATACTGAGCAAACAAGGCATCACCAACGATAAGGATCCACTTTTCATAAGCACAATAAAAGATAACTTGTTGACTGAAGTTTGATAAAAATCCCTCGAAGAATGAATCCAGCAGTGTGCCAGCAAGGATTTTCTTAAAAAAAATAATAATGACCTTGACCCTTCTACCCTGTAACTCAAACTCAGTCTGTGATATTATGGTCCTTTATTGAAAAATGAAGTAAACGTATAATCAAAGTCCTGTTAGAGATGTTGCTGTAACTGTGCTGACAATGACTTTCCAAAAATAGAAACAATTGCCTTTATATTAGTAAGAATGACATTGACCTTGGCCCGAGAGCTCTGAAATTCAAACTTGTTCCAGACATAATGATTATTATAAAATTGTGATGTAAGATCGAAATCTCTCAAAAATAAAGCCACTTGTGCGCTGACAAGGTTTCTCTAGAAATGTTAAAGAATGGCTTTTATCTTGACCGCAGAACCCTGAAATTCGAACTTCTGCGAGAAAGTTTTTCAAAATTGTCTGGTATCCCCAAAGAAAAGAAGACGCTAGATCAATGACAAAGAATTTCTATAAATAGTAAGAGGGACATTGACCTTGGACATAGAGCCCTGAAATTCGTCCCAGAAATAATGGTCATTATAATTTTTGATGTAATCGAAATCAAAAGAAAATGATAAGGCTAGAGTGCTGACAATTATTTTCTAAATATAGTACAGCGACCTTGACCATGACCCTGGAAATTAAAACTCAGTCAAAATTTAATCAAAATTCCTAAAAAAAAATTAAGCGCAAACAATGGCTTTCATTAAAAAAAGGACGGTGACCCTGACCCTAGATTAGCTTTATATTTATAACACCATACGCTCATCAGATAATTTTTCTTAGAGGTGCTAAGTAAACCTAGCTTCAGGTGTAAAATACACCTACTTTGATGTGTCAGGTACACTTCCCTACATGTGTAAGGTACACCTCCCTACATGTGTAAGGTACACCTCCCTTTATGGGTAAGGTACACCTCCCTACATGTGTAAGGTAAACCTCCCTACATGTGAAAGGCAAACCTCCTTACATGTGTAAGTTACATCTCCCTACATATGTAAGGTACACCTCCCTTTATGTGTCAGGTAAACCTCCCTACATGTGTAAGGTAAACCTCCCTACATGTTAATGGGAAAACCCCCTACATGTGTAAGGTGAACCTCCCTACATGTGAAAGGTACTTCTAACATGTGTAAGTTATATCTCCCTACATATGTAAGGTACACCTCCCTTTATGTGTCAGGTAAACCTCCCTGCATGTGTAAGGTACACCTCCCTACATGTGTAAGGTACACCTCCCTTTATGTGTCAGGTAAACCTCCCTGCATGTGTAAGGTGAACCTCCCTACAAGTGTAAGGTAAACCTCCCTACATGTTAATGGGAAAACCCCCTACATGTGAAAGATAAACCTCACTACATGTGTAAGGTACACCTCCCTACATGTGTAAGGTACACCTCCCTACATGTGTAAGGTACACCTCCCTTTATGTGTCAGGTAAACCTCCCTGCATGTGTAAGGTGAACCTCCCTACAAATGTAAGGTAAACCTCACTATATGTGTAAGGTACACCTCCCTACATGTGTAAGGTAAATCTCCCTACATGTGTTAGGTAAACCTCCCTAAATGTGTTAGATAAAACTCCCTACATGTGTAAGGTACACCTCAATATATGTATCAGGTATACCTCCCTACAAGTGTAAGGTAAACCCCCCTACATGTGTATGGTAAATCTCCCTACTTGTGTAAGGTAAACATCCCTAATATGTAAGGTACACCTCCTTACACGTGAAAGGTATACCTCCCTACATGTGTTAGGTACACCTTCCTATATGTGTCAGGTACACCTCCCTACATGTGTCAGATAAGCCGCCCTACATGCGTCAGGTACACCTCCCTACAAGTGTCATGTAAACTTCCCTACAGGTGTAAGGTACACCTCCCTACATGTGTCAGGTATACCTCCGTACATGTGTAAGGTAAACCTCCGTACATGTGTAAGGTAAACCTCCCTACATGTGGTAGGTAAACCCCCTATATGTGTAAGGTATACCTTCCTACATGTGTCAGGTCAATCCCCCTACATGTGAAAGGTATACCTCCCAACATGTGTCAGGTACACCTCCCTACATGTGTCAGGTAAACCCCCCTACATGTGTAAGGTACACCTCCCTACATGTGTCAGGTAAACCCCCCTACATGTGTAAGGTAAACCTCCCTAATGTGTAAGGTACACCTCCCTACGTGTGTCATGTAAACCTCCCTACACTTGGTAGATAAACCCCACTACATGTGTAAGGTACACCTCCCTACATGTGTCAGGTAAACCCCCTACATGTGTAAGGTAAACCTCCCTTTATGTGGCAGGTAAACCTCCCTGCATGTGTAAGGTTAACCTCCCTACATGTTAATAGGAAAACCCCCTATATGTGTCAGGTATACCTCCGTACATGTGTAAGGTAAACCTCCGTACATGTGTAAGGTAAACCTCCCTACATGTGGTAGGTAAACCCCCTATATGTGTAAGGTATACCTTCCTACATGTGTCAGGTCAATCCCCCTACATGTGAAAGGTATACCTCCCAACATGTGTCAGGTACACCTCCCTACATGTGTTAGGTAAACCTCCCTACATGTGTAAGGTACACCTCCCTACATGTGTCAGGTAAACCCCCTACATGTGTAAGGTAAACCTCCCTAATGTGTAAGGTACACCTCCCTACGTGTGTCATGTAAACCTCCCTACACTTGGTAGATAAACCCCACTACATGTGTAAGGTACACCTCCCTACATGTGTCAGGTAAACCCCCTACATGTGTAAGGTAAACCTCCCTTTATGTGGCAGGTAAACCTCCCTGCATGTGTAAGGTTAACCTCCCTACATGTTAATAGGAAAACCCCCTATATGTGTAAGGTACACCTCCCTACATGTGTAAGGTAAACCTCCCTACATGTGAAAGGTAAACCTTCATACATGTGTAAGTTACACCTCCCTACATGTGTAAGGTAAACCTCCTTACATGTGCAATGGAAACCTGCCTACATGTGTAAGGTACACCTCCCTTCACGTGTCAGGTAAACCTCCCTACATGTGTAAGGTACACTTCCCTACATGTGAAAGATAAACCTCACTACATGTGTAAGGTACACCTCCCTGCATGTGTAAGGTTAACCTCCCTACATGTTAATAGGAAAACCCCCTATATGTGTAAGGTAAACCTCCCTACATGTGTAAGGTAAACCTTCCTATATGTGTCAGGTATACCTCCCTACATGTGTAAGGTAAACCTCCCTATATGTGTAAGGTACACCTCCCTTCATGTGTCAGGTAAACCTCCCTACATGTGTAAGGTACACTTCCCTACATGTGAAAGATAAACCTCACTACATGTGTAAGGTACACCTCCCTACATGTGTAAGGTAAACCCCCCTACATGTGTAAGGTAAACCTCCCTACATGTGTAAGGTAAACCCCCCTACATGTGTAAGGTAAATCTCCCTACATGTGTAAGGTAAACATCCCTAATATGTAAGGTACACCTCCTTACATGTGTAAGGTAAACCTCCCTACATGTGGTAGGTAAACCCCCTATATGTGTAAGGTATACCTTCCTACATGTGTCAGGTCAATCCCCCTACATGTGAAAGGTATACCTCCCAACATGTGTCGTGTACACCTCCCTACATGTGTCAGGTAAACCTCCCTACATGTGTAAGGTACACCTCCCTACATGTGTCAGGTAAACCCCCTACATGTGTAAGGTAAACCTCCCTACATGTGGTAGGTTAACCCCTCTACATGTGTAAGGTACACCTCCCTACATGTGTCAGGTACACCTCCCTACATTTGGTAGATAAACCCCACTACATGTGTAAGGTACACCTCCCTACATGTGTCAGGTAAACCCCCTACATGTGTAAGGTAAACCTCCCTTTATGTGGCAGGTAAACCTCCCTGCATGTGTAAGGTTAACCTCCCTACATGTTAATAGGAAAACCCCCTACATGTGTAAGGTAAATCTCCCTACATGTGTAAGGTAAACATCCCTAATATGTAAGGTACACTTCCTTACATGTGAAAGGTATACCTCCCTACTTGTGTTAGGTAAACTTCCCTACAGGTGTAAGGTACACCTCCCTACATGTGTCAGGTAAACCCCCCAAGAAGTGTCAGGTTCACCTCCCTACCTGTGTCAGGTAAACCTCCCTATATGTGTAAGGTACACCCCCCTACATGCGTCAGGTAAACCTCCCTGTATGAGTAAGGTACACCTCCCTACATCTCCCTATATGTGTCAGGTATACCTCCCTACATGTGTCATGTAAACTTCCCTACATGTGTAAGGTACACCTCCCTATATGTGTCAGGTATACCTCCTTACATGTGTGAGGTAAACCTTCCTACATGTGGTAGGTAAACCCCCTACATGTGTAAGGTACATCTCCCTACATGTGTCAGGTACACCTCCCTACATTCGTAAGGTAAACTTACCTACATATGTTATATCAACCTACCTACATTCGTCAGGTAAACCTACCTACTTATGTTATGTCAATCTACTATCATGTGTCAAGTTAACCTAGCCACACGTGTGAGGTTAAACAACCTTTATATGTCAGATAAAACTTCATTCATATACTTGGTCAACCTTATGTATGTCTGGTTAAACCATTTACAGGTGTCAGATAAAGTTGACCTGCTACATGAAGGTAGGTACCGTAAACATGTTTCTAGCTACAAGAACAGTTTTACCCTAAACCTGTCCCTATCAGCACCTGTACTGTAACCATGCCACTAACTAGAGCACCGTACAATTTCCACTATCTACACCTGTACTGTAAACATGCCACTAACCAGAGCACCGTAAACTTGCCACTATGAATACCTGTACTGTAAACATGCCACTAACCAGAGCACCGTAAACTTGCCACTATCTACACCTGTACTGTAAACATGCCACTAACTAGAGCACTGTAAACTTGGCACTATCTACACCTGTACTGTAAAGATGCCACTAACTAGAGCACTGTAAACTTGGCACTATCTACACCTGTACTGTAAACATGTCACTAACCAGAGCACCGTATACTTGCCACTATCTACACCTGTACTGTAAACATGCCACTAACCAGAGCACCGTAAACTTGCCACTATCTACACCTGTACTGTAAACATGTCACTAACCAGAGCACCGTAAACTTGCCACTATCTACACCTGTACTGTAAACATGCCACTAACTAGAGCACTGTAAACTTGGCACTATCTACACCTGTACTGTAAACATGTCACTAACCAGAGCACCGTATACTTGCCACTATCTACACCTGTACTGTAAACATGCCACTAACCAGAGCACCGTAAACTTGCCACTATCTACACCTGTACTGTAAACATGTCACTAACCAGAGCACCGTAAACTTGGCACTATGAACACCTGTACTGTAAACGTGTCACTAACCAGAGCACCGTAAACTTGCCACTATCTACACCTGTACTGTAAACATGCCACTAACCAGAGCACCGTAAACTTGCCACTATCTACACCTGTACTGTAAACATGCCACTAACCAGAGCACCGTAAACTTGCCACTATCTACACCTGTACTGTAAACATGTAACTAACCAGAGCACCGTAAACTTGGCACTATCTACACCTGTACTGTAAACATGCCACTAACCAGAGCACCGTAAACTTGCCACTATCTACACCTGTACTGTAAACATGCCACTAACCAGAGCACCGTAAACTTGGCACTATGAACACCTGTACTGTAAACATGCCACTAACCAGAGCACCGTAAACTTGCCACTATGAACACCTGTACTGTAAACATGCCACTAAACAGAGCACTGTAAACTTGCCACTATGAACACCTGTACTGTAAACATGCCACTAACCAGAGCATCGTAAACTTGCCACTATGAACACCTGTACTGTAAACATGCCACTAACTAGAGCACCGTAAACTTGCCACTATGAACACCTGTACTGTAAACATGCCACTAAACAGAGCACTGTAAACTTGCCACTATGAACACCTGTACTGTAAACATGCCACTAACCAGAGCATCGTAAACTTGCCACTATGAACACCTGTACTGTAAACATGCCACTAACTAGAGCACCGTAAACTTGCCAATATCAACACCTGTACTGTAAACATGCCACTAACCATAGCACTGTAAACTTGCCACTATGAACACCTGTACTGTAAACATGCCACTAACCAGAGCACCGTAAACTTGCCACTATGAACACATGTACTGTAAACATGCCACTAACTAGAGCACCGTATACTTGCCACTATCAACACCTGTACTGTAAACATGCCACTAACCATAGCACCGTAAACTTGGCACTATCTACACTTGTACTGTTAACTTACCTATTACCTACACGTGTATCATAAACTTTCCAGTGTCTACATAGGTACTGTTACCTTGCCATTATCTACACCTGTTTCGTGAAATTGCCACTATCTACAGATGTACAGTAAACTTGTCACAAGCTAAACATGTATTGTTAACTGCGTTTAGCACCTGCTGTACCGTTAATTTGTCACTATTTGCACTTGTACCGTAATCTTGCCACAAGCTATACAGGTACTGTAAACTTGCCACTTGCTAGACACGTACCATAACCTGTCACTATTTACACTTCTACCGTAAGTTTGGCATTAACTATACGTGTAACGTTAACCTATGACACCTAAAATGTGACCAACCAGTCCATGATGTCGTTTGCGTTTCATTAATATAACGCAATTGATAACTTAAATCATATGGTTCACACATTGAGTACGGATCGCGGCATTATACATGAAGAAGTGGAAGACGTCTAATTTTTTCAACACGAAGTTTCTGACACCGGGTGACTTCTTACCTTCACGCCACTGCTGGATCTCCACTGTCATGCCTGGAAATCCAGTAGATTTGGCGCCAAATGAGCAGACGACATTATACTAGTTGACGAACCCGACGCCATAGCTCTCGCGTTGTACGTAAATCACAGACACAACAACACACATTTGAGTAAATCTCCGATCATTAGTTGTTTCCCTCACCAGGATAACGCAATCTTCAGACATTGGTACAAACACACCAATGCTCGACTGTCGAGCCAAGCCAGGCACATACTTCCCGCCAGCTGAAATAGCAATCAATTTATCCACGATAGTAATTCCATTTCTAAGAAAACTGCAGAACACTTGACACAGACATGAAACTAAGACTTGAAAGTTCCGTTACTCCATATATTCTAATGCACGTGCGTTCCAGGGAACCGAGGCTTTCGCTTGTCTCCTCAGTGGAGCGATCGATCGCCGGTGCCTGTCTGTGATGTTAGCTGATAGCGAGCCATATTGTCACCATGGTGTTCATGAAAGGGGTGCACACGTCTGCTTCAGCTGCTGCATCACGAGCGGGTGGCGGGAACGAAGGGAAACAACTCTAACATTTTTGGGGGAATATTGTGTAAACAAGAACAAAACTTCCTATAATTTCTGACCTGTGATAACCATGATGACGAACTCTAAAAGGTTAATTTATCACTAATTTCCACTCAAAACTACGTCTTTAAATGGGAAATTTATGTCTGAATGATCTTCTAAATCAATGTTATTACTTACCAACCACGAGCGTTAATGCAGATAAATATGTATCGTAAAGGGGAGCATTGGATTCAGTGTACTGGTTACTATACACAAAGGTAGGACGATGTTGATGTCGTATTGGTAACACAAGATTTACTAATATCACTGGCTTTGTCTTGACACTACTGTGTTAGTGTGTAGTCTACAATCATAATGATTATGTGCCATTTATAAAAAGGCACGCATATTTAATGAAAGAAATTAAAATATGACAATATTGGTCGTTACTAGGAAAATACAAACAAGACATTATATTAAAATTTATAGTTTATTTGATATTAATGTTATAAATGTCCAAAACATGTTAAGTTTCCTGAACCGTTCCGTCTACGTTGCTCTGAAATAAAAGTAAAATAACTTAATCGATATCTTTGATAATTACAAAAGAACATCTGGATTTTAACATTCCGAACATCCGGGCATCAATCAACACCCATATAAGAAATAATCCACTCGGAGGATTCGTTTGTGACGAGGCTGTATTTCGAATGGATAGATAAAGTTGCAAAAATTATCATTTAAATATTTGTATTGCGACCAATTAAAACCTTTCTTAGTATAGTGATGTATGGTGAACACACATTACCATCACGACAATTTAAATACAAAAATTTCTGAGCCGAAAGGTTGTCCATTTCGCTCTTCTGTTGAAACTCTAGTTTGATTTGTGTATTCTTTAAATAAAGAAAAAAAAATACTATCAGGGATCGTACTATATAATATTTTATTACCTATCCAGTCCTTACGACGTGAGCTGAGTACAACAGACAGCCCACAGTCCCATTGGGTTTGTAGAACATGTGTAGCCAAATGGACAGCTCTGTGTGCGACAGTCTATGCCCGGTACTGGGCGTCCTATTGCACAGCATGGCTGAACACTCTGAGGACTGCATTGGCCAGCTGTGAAACAGATACACAATGCTATTTGTATAACGGAGATGTAGGTCTTGTAGAGGACAAAGGCGAAGGTTAAAGTCATCGATAAACACTATACGACGAATGGAATATAGACAAATCACACATCAACTGGCTTAAACACGCAGAGTAGATAATTGAGACTAAACACAGACTATTAGTTGTGGTGTTTCATTTGCTGGAAAACAGCACTATTTGGTAGTAACAAGGATGTAAGACATTTCCAAAATTTCCGGGGTTGATGGACTGTTCTTCCCATCATATTGAAATTTAGGAATTAAAGACAAAGAAATGGATGTATTTCTTGCTTTCGCTTGTAGGGGAGAAGGCATTAAAAGGAAGGTAACCATTGTGCAAACGTAATGGTTTCACTGCCTTTTGAAACATCATAATTCCGTCTCTAGCGTTGAGGATTTTAAAAAACGTGTTATGGATGTGGTAAGGATTTGGAGTGGGAGGGGGTTTTATGAATGTTGATATAGTCTGTTTGTAAGGCAGACTTTGAGGTTTTATAAAAAAAAATGTGTTATGGCATAGAAGTCTGTTTGTATCTTGCAACCTGTATCGGAAGTTTCAGGCAGAAAGTGGCCATATTGAAATTGGGATGAAACATTATGCCTACCGACAATAACGTTTTTTATGTAAAAAAACGCTTTTCCGGTAATTCATTCTTAAAATAACAGTTGGTGTGAAAAAATGTATTCGGTTGTCAATATAGAAGTGCAGTTCGATACGTGAATCTGTCGAGACTGAGAGCTGAAACCTTTCGATAAAGCCTGATAACGAGGTTAATGTAAAAAGGACTGACAACACTCACGTGACGCTGGCCTGACAGCGACCTGAGGAACTGCATTTACGATTTCGGCACAGCAAACTGACCATGCATTTGTGATGTGGGTGTGGCACTCGAACCCGGATGGACATTTCTTAAACTGGCACTGCTGAAGCGGATTACCCCTTCTACAACAAGGGCGAGGGCTCTGTCTGGAACACGTGTTGGTCGTTGTCACAGGAACTGGGGCTGAAACCGTTTATGTATAATGTATAATGCACATGAATGTTATTCGATACGATAACTCTAAGTTACAAATAAATAAAAAACCAAAATATATTAAATTGTAATTACTGCAAGACTGTTCATAGGATTGGTCTATGGTGCCGGGTTCAGGTCCCCGACTCCACAATACCTTATCATGGAAGGGGTTTTAACACAGTGAATCTTACGGGAAGGTGGCACTTCGCCATCAATAGTGCACTCCAAGAAACAACATATACGCACCCGGTGTCTGCTCGGTTGGACAACAGGCTGTCCATCCGGCCACCGTGCTTTCAGTACACGTGTACCCCACAGGACAACCTCTCGTCTGACATTGAGCTCTGTTGAGGGGCTCACCCCGACTACAACAAGGAGTTGGGCTGTTGACGGTGCACGATGGGACAGGGACCAGAGCTGGTGGTTGTACTCCTGCAGGGAAATTGAGACATGTTGGAGTTATCGTTCTTGTGATGTATCTTTTAACAAGATATATAGAAAACTTCATACTAACTTTTGTCTTTAGATATATTTCAGAAATATTTCTTTCTCTTCGTATTTTACTTAGTGGAACTAGTAATATTCGTGGATTGTCTTATTTTGACACTGTGGAAGTCGATACCGCACGACATACGTAAATTATATATATACAGTATATATATAGAGCACACGTTAATTTATGACAATAATGTACATGTCACGTGTGAATGGACACACGACTTTTTTCATACGCTTCATTTAATTTGATATAGCTACATGTACTATCTCATGTGTCATACTTAACGTCTTAAGTATTACCTATTGGGGAGCCGTTTGTGTCCTGACAACAGACAGCCCAAAGGCCTTGGGGGTTGGAGTGACAGTACTGGTTATTGAGACATGGGCGTGTCCGACACTGGGTCCCGGGAACCATCTCCCCTCGGGGACAGCAAGCGTTGGCATTATTCACACTGCAAGTCTGTGTCGTAGCAGCTGTTGGAAAAAGAAGGAAGACATAATCAACAAGAGTTGTCTTTCTTTGGACGTCACAAAGACCGTAACTAGACGGCAACAGTACATAGTGCTGTAAAATCATGGATTTTCGTAGGGCTCAGTTTTCGTTGTTTCTTAAAAAAAAAAAACTATTTCGTGAACTCTTCTTTTCATGACTACAAATATCTCTAAGAATATTATTATACCAATTTAAACAGTTCGTGGACATACGTTTATTAAGGGTATCCACGAAATGAGCGGAAATAACCTCCTACTCCCCCCGCCCTCCCAACCTACCCCAAAAATCAATGATGTTACATTTATAAACGTCAAACGTTACCAGTATGAAGCACGTAAATAGAAGTAAACGAGAAAGGAAAGCTAAATTTATGTGTGGTGTGGTGTTACATAGACTTATCCTATGAACTGTTACTGAATGGTAGTATACAGTTGGTATGAATATAATTTGGGTGACAGATAAATAGAATGTATCCCGTTATATATCATGATGTATAATGGAACACAACATAGAATGTTAATGCAACTTTTAAAAAGTGTGTGAAAATTACCGGTGTTAGTGTCCTGACAGCACACGGCCCAGCGGTTGTTGATATGAGAGTTACATGTGTACCCGGGGGGACAGGCCTGCACACGACACTGGATTCCAGCGAGGGGCTGTCCCGCCTCACAACACGCGACGTTGCTCCTCCGACTACAAGCTGGTCTAGGCTCTGTTGGACCTTGCAATATTATACACGAATTTACAGGGTGGTGACCGGGAAAACAGCAATGGCAAAGATTGAATCTTCAAATAATCGACTTTTCAATACTGATAGATAAATATTGTTTGATTCAAACAACTAAATTTCGTATAATAATCATGGCAATCCCGCGATAATATGCCAATAAAGCTAATCATGTAGCCAGCAATTTATCGGAACGATGGCATTTTGTAGATTTTGTAGATTGTAAGTTCCGGAAGTATTTCGTTCCCACAACATCCAAATCCATTGTATCCCAACTCATATTCAACATTTTCCCTGTTCATTAATTTATGGTATGCATGTACTTACGTCCAGGGGCTGGACAGCAGACTGCCCATGCGTCCGTTACGTGTACGTTACACGTGGATCCAGCTGGACATGACCCAAACCGACAATCAGACCCCGGAATGGGCGTGGCAGAGGGGCAACATGGGGTCGGACTGTCGTTAGAACATGTCGTTATTTCAATAATTTGTGGCTCCTGTGGGATGGACGGGGCGACTGGCGCTTGACCGGGACGGGCCCCGGGACCGGATTGACCAATACCAAGTGGTCCGGCAACCATTACAACTGGGAAATAGGAACAGGAAATACCTAAGGTTTCTTGATATAGATCAAGAGTATGTATGGGTCGTGAACCCGATCCGAATTAACGAAATCACATATCACTTTAAACTGTTTCTGTTTTCATACTCCATGACACAAGTGTTAATTCATGTCGACGATGACAATTTGGTTCTCTAACTATGTATTATATTTTACCTTTGATGATACCGTGGTTCCTTATCACAAACAATTTGTTAACGTTTATCTGTTACAACTTTAAGTGTTTATTTGACTGTATCGTGCTGACCTGCAGAATTTAGCCTGATCAGACAACTTTATTTGACGTAAAGCCAGGAATCACTCGTACGTAATCATGTAGAATGAATCTATGGTAATACCAATCTTACGTACTATTGATAAAAACCTACCTGTTAAATTTAAAGTCAGAATAATATATCTATTATTTAAAAAGATACTTTTAGATAAAGCAAAAGTTATATATAACTAACCCCCACCCCACCCCATCCCACCCCCAACCTTTTGATATACATCTTTATCTATCGCATAGTGTTGTGCCATGTACCTGTCCTTGAGGTTTGTTGCTGGGACATTGCACAACAGACTGCCCATTGGCCAGCCGCGTGTGTAAAGCAAGTGTAGCCATTCGGACAACGCTGTGTCTGGCAGTCGATCCTTGGCAACGGTTGACCGAACTGACAGCAGGGGCGATTACTCTGTGCTGTACACGTCTGCACGTTTCGGGGCATTGGGCGGGCAACGCCTGGAAACAAGGTAAATTGACTTTAACATCATCTGATAATTATGACGTCATGTTATATTCGAGTAAACATGTCTTGACCAAGTTTATACCGTCCGTCAAAGCGATCTAGGTGATCTATGATTTTTGAATACTCAGAAAAGAATACTGAAAACGTTTTGAGTTTTCATGAGAAATGTTATTGACCAAAATATTCACCAAAACTAGATATGTTCTTGTTTTCAATATACTTTTGCTATACTGCTTTTTTGATGACGGATTTTCTTGAACTTGGCCTTAACTTTGACTCAACATTGTACTTGGCACCTGTCTAATCCGTTTACCTGTATTCCGAGTCTGCATCTGGTTAATGACGAGTGTAGTCCGACAGCAGACACCCCATCTGTTTAACACGTGGGTGTGGCAGGAGAAACCCATGGGACAACGAGCCATAGGACAGCGGACCCGGGGTAGAGGAAACCCGTGGGGACAGCACGGTAAGGGGCTCAGCCTGGAACATTGGTGGTGTGCTGGAATATAAAGTGCAAATACAAACAGAGCTGTTTTACCATATATTTCCCCGCTCCCTCGCCCCCTAAAAACTGAATAAAGAGACAGACAATATCAGAGAGAAGGTTTGTGCATCACAAGAGGAAAAAAATACATGAGAAAACACCGTGACTGGTGACAAAACTATAAAAAAAGAAACTATATGTGCCACTGCAATAACTACAACACACCAGGCAGGTTGTTGGTTTATATAACGGCACGGGTGGTCTTGAATATACAATATGTATCACAGTGATAGCTAGAATACACAGTACATGTATCACAGTCATAGCTAGAATACACAGTACAAGTATCACACTCATAGCTAGAATACACAGTACATGTATCACAGTGATAGCTAGAATACACAGTACATGTATCACAGTCATAGCTAGAATACACAGTACATGTATCACAGTGATAGCTAGAATACACAGTACATGTATCACAGTGATAGCTAGAATACACAGTACAAGTATCACACTCATAGCTAGAATACACAGTGCGTGTATCACAGTGATAGCTAGAATACACAGTACATATATCACAGTGATAGCTAGAATACACAGTACATGTATCACAGTGATAGCTAGAATACACAGTACATGTATCACAGTCATAGCTAGAATACACAGTACATGTATCACAGTCATAGCTAGAATACACAGTACATGTATCACAGTCATAGCTAGAATACACAGTACATGTATCACTGTCATAGCTAGAATACACAGTACATGTATCACAGTGATAGCTAGAATACACAGTACATGTATCACAGTCATATCTAGAATACACAGTACATGTATCACAGTGATAGCTAGAATACACAGTACATATATCACAGTGATAGCTAGAATACACAGTAGTGATAGCTAGAAGACACAGTACATGTATCACTGTGATACATAGAATACATAGTACGTGTATCACAGTGATAGCTAGAAGACACAGTACATGTATCACACTTATAGCTAGAAAACACAGTACATGTATCACAGTCATATCTAGAATACATAGTACATGTATCACATTGATAGCTAGAATACACAGTACATGTATCACAGTCATATCTAGAATACATAGAACATGTATTACATTGATAGCTAGAATACACAGTACATGTATCACAGTCATAGCTAGAATACACAGTACGTGTATGACAGTCATAGCTAGAATACACAGTACGTGTATCACAATGATAGCTAGAATACACAGTACATGTATCACACTTATAGCTAGAATATACAGTACATGTACAGTGATAGCTAGAATACACAGTACATGTATCACAGTCATAGCTAGAATACACAGTACATGTATCTCAGTCATAGCTAGAATACACAGTACATATATCACAGTGATAGATAGAATACACAGTACGTGTATCACAGTCATAGCTAGAATACACAGTACATGTATCACAGTGATAGCTAGAATACACAGTACATGTATCACAGTCATAGCTAGAATACACAGTACGTGTATCACAGTGATAGCTAGAATACACAGTACATGTATCACAGTCATAGCTAGAATACACAGTACATGTATCACAGTCATAGCTAGAATACACAGTACATGTATCACAGTCATAGCTAGAATACACAGTACATGTATCACAGTCATAGCTAGAATACACAGTACATGTATCACAGTCATATCTAGAATACACAGTACATGTATCACAGTGATAGCTAGAATACACAGTACATGTATCACAGTCATAGCTAGAATACACAGTACATGTATCACAGTCATATCTAGAATACACAGTACATATATCACAGTGATAGATAGAATACAAAGTACATGTATCACAGTGATAGCTAGAATACACAGTACATGTATCACAGTCATATCTAGAATACACAGTACATATATCACAGTGATAGATAGAATACACAGTACATGTATCACAGTGATAGATAGAATACACAGTACATGTATCACAGTCATAGCTAGAATACACAGTACATATATCACAGTGATAGCTAGAATACACAGTACATGTATCACAGTGATAGCTAGAATACACAGTACAAGTATCACACTCATAGCTAGAATACACAGTACATGTATCACAGTCATAGCTAGAATACACAGTACATGTATCACAGTCATAGCTAAAATACACAGTACATGTATCACAGTCATAGCTAGAATACACAGTACATGTATCACAGTCATAGCTAGAATACACAGTACATGTATCACAGTCATAGCTAGAATACACAGTACATGTATCACAGTCATAGCTAGAATACACAGTACATGTATCACAGTCATAGCTAGAATACACAGTACATGTATCACAGTGATAGCTAGAATACACAGTACATGTATCACAGTCATAGTTAGAATACACAATACGTTTATCACAGTCATATCTAGAATAAACAGTACATGTATCACAGTGATAGATAGAATACACAGTACATGTATCACTGTGATAGATAGAATACACAGTACGTGTATCACAATGATAGCTAGAATACACAGTACGTTTATCACAGTCATATCTAGAATAAACAGTACATGTATCACAGTCATAGCTAGAATACACAGTACATGTATCACTGTGATAGATAGAATACACAGTACGTGTATCACAGTGATAGCTAGAATACACAATACATGTATCACAGTCATATCTAGAATACACAGTACATGTATCACTGTCATAGCTAGAATACACAGTACATGTATCACAGTCATATCTAGAATACACAGTACATGTATCACAGTCATAGCTAGAATACACAGTACATGTATCACAGTCATAGCTAGAATACACAGTACATGTATCACAGTGATAGCTAGAATACACAGTACATGTATCACAGTGATAGCTAGAATACACAGTACATGTATCACAGTCATAGCTAGAATACACAGTACATGTATCACAGTCATAGCTAGAATACACAGTACATGTCATCACAGTCATATCTAGAATACACAGTACACAGGTATCACAGTGATAGATAGAATACAAAGTACATGTATCACAGTGAATACACAGTGATAGCTAGAATACACAGTACATGTATCACAGTCATATCTAGAATACACAGTACATGTATCACAGTGATAGCTAGAAGACACAGTACGTGTATCACAGTGATAGCTAGAATACACAGTACATATATCACAGTGATAGCTAGAATACAGTCACAGTGATAGCTAGAATACACAGTACATGTATCACTGTGATAGATAGAATACACAGTACGTGTATCACAGTGATAGCTAGAATACACAGTACATGTATCACAGTCATAGCTAGAATACAAAGTACATGTATCACAGTGATAGCTAGAATACACAGTACATGTATCACAGTGATAGCTAGAATACACAGTACATGTATCACAGTCATAGCTAGAATACACAGTACATGTATCACAGTGATAGCTAGAATACACAGTACATGTATCACAGTCATAGCTAGAATACACAGTACGTGTATCACAATGATAGCTAGAATACACAGTACATGTATCACACTTATAGCTAGAATATACAGTACATGTACAGTGATAGCTAGAATACACAGTACATGTATCACAGTCATAGCTAGAATACAAAGTACATATATCACAGTCATAGCTAGAATACACAGTACACGTATCACATTGATAGCTAGAATACACAGTACATGTATCACAGTCATAGCTAGAATACACAGTACATGTATCACAGTCATAGCTAGAATACACAGTACATGTATCACAGTCATAGCTAGAATACACAGTACATGTATCACAGTCATAGCTAGAATACACAGTACAAGTATCACACTCATAGCTAGAATACACAGTACATGTTTCACAGTGATAGCTAGAAGACACAGTACATGTATCACAGTCACAGCTAGAATACACAGTACAAGTATCATAGTGATAGCTATAATACACAGTACATGTATCACAGTCATAGCTAGAATACACAGTACGTGTATCACAATGATAGCTAGAATACACAGTACATGTACACAGTACATGTATCACAGTGATAGCTAGAATACACAGTACATGTATCACAGTCATATCTAGAATACACAGTACATATATCACAGTGATAGATAGAATACACAGTACATGTATCACAGTGATAGCTAGAATACACAGTACATGTATCACAGTGATAGCTAGAATACACAGTACATGTATCACAGTCATAGCTAGAATACACAGTACATGTATCACAGTGATAGCTAGAATACACAGTACATGTATCACAGTGATAGCTAGAATACACAGTACATGTATCACAGTGATAGCTAGAATACACAGTACATGTATCACAGTCATAGCTAGAATACACAGTACATGTATCACAGTCATAGCTAGAATACACAGTACATGTATCACAGTCATAGCTAGAATACACAGTACATGTATCACAGTGATAGCTAGAATACACAGTACATGTATCACAGTCATAGCTAGAATACACAGTACATGTATCACAGTGATAGCTAGAATACACAGTACATGTATCACAGTCATAGCTAGAATACACAGTACATGTATCACAGTCATATCTAGAATAAACTACATGAATACACAGTACATGTATCACATATACACAGTGATAGCTAGAATACACAGTAATACACAGTAGTACATGTATCACAGTGATAGCTAGAATACACAGTACATGTATCACAGTCATAGCTAGAATACACAGTACATGTATCACGGTGATAGCTAGAATACACAGTACATGTATCACAGTCATAGCTAGAATACACAGTACATGTATCACAGTCATAGCTAGAATACACAGTCATACATGTATCACAGTGTATCACATGTATCACAGTGATAGCTAGAATACACAATACATGTATCACAGTCATAGCTAGAATACAAAGTAGAATACAAAGTACATGTATCACAGTGATAGCTAGAATACACAGTACATGTATCACAGTCACATCTAGAATACACAGTACATGTATCACAGTGATAGC